TACCAACTCTCCAAAAAGAGTTAAATTAACACTCTCTGGTGTGGACCCATATAGACATTTTAATAGTGTTGAAATCAAATCCGACAGTGTTAATTTGGACATGCTGGATTTGCTGTGTACAACTCTGTGTGGAGTTTTTTGGAGCAGCTGAAAGAGCAACCAAAGGTTAGCCAGAGTATTGACATTTTCTTTCTGTAGCAAACACTTCCAGTGCCACAGGACCATCTGAAGCCTGAACTGCCCCCGCTTCGACACACACATCATTATTCTGATGTGTTTTTCTACTTCGTGGTTTTCTATAAAAACATCAGGAATGACAGGGAACGTCAATATTTCAGCACACAGCTGTAGAAGCCTCTTTTTCAGATCAATGATTATGTAAATCGGCGGTGATATTTTGACAGAATCAGTTCTGCACACACGTCCCGGGGGCATTGCTCTTAATCTAACTAATTCATCATGTGTTGGTTTTGGCTCTGGGTTTAACTCAGAAAACACTCCGTTTGTTCTGTTTCTATCTTCATACCAAACACGGACGACTTTTATCAGCGATTTGTTCGTGCGCTCCCCCGGTTTCTGCAGAAGCTCTCCGTATCTCTGGCCTGCACGCTCCTTTTAGTGATAAAGATTGCTTTCATGAAGCCTGATCTGCGCCGCGCTGGCGTAATATTGTGCATATTTAACACTCATTGTCTTTTTTTTTCTCCCTCCATCGCGACGGGTGGTCGTCTTCGCTCAATGTGATTTATAATTCACGACTTGTTTATGCATTTTGCTGCTCATTTTCTCATTAAAAACTTTTAAAAACACACGTCTGACAGCAAGATTTGTTCCACGTTTCACCAAAAGACAGGCCGGGAGACAATTAGGGATGTAAATGTGCTGCGTTTTGTTTGGGTGACACCCGTACAAATCAGCCAGACACAACTTCCCAGACAGCGGATGCACACGCAGCCAAACTGCGAGTTCTCAAAGTCATAATGATGCTCTGTGATGTTTGCTGTGTAGTATTTGGCACATGACCCTGTAACAAACAAAGCCGAAAAAAGCCGAAAAAAGAAAAGACTTCTCAAAAAGATCACTGAAGACCAGATTTCCCTCCCCTTTATCTCCTCTCTTTATTCCCGCTTCATCTCCCTGTGTGTTTATCCCAGCACCTCCTCTTTTTATATCCTTTTTTGAATCTCTCCTTCTTTCTTTTCCCCCTTTTTTCCCGATGCCATTCTCTATCTCACGCTGCACACCCACATGCTCAGAGGTAGATTGTTATACTCGAAGAATAGCTCCTTATACTCTAACCCCATGTTGTAAATCCTTTATAGAAAGTGTTGAGGTATTTCTGAAAGAAGCATGTATTATCTCTGAATTTGGCCCTGCCTGGGCGTCAGGCCAGCGCCACAGTTCCTGCTGTTGTTCTGCAGCAGCGCTTTGCTTTGGTGGGATAGAGGGAAGGAGGCTGGCCGGCAGGAGGGATTAGAGCACAAATGCACAGGAGTGCAGGATTGCAATAGAGAGAACAGGAGTTTCTATTCAAATCAGCATTTCCCAGCATTTGTTTGTGAAATCCTAAGGTGGCTGCAGCTCAGTGTTGAGCAGCGCTATCGTGGAAACAACGGTACAATGATCTTCTGACCAAACGTGACAAATTCTAGAATATTTCTGGAGAATTGTTGCTATTTCCTGAAAATTGGTCCACATTTGAAGCAGCTTGATTGTTGCACTTTGCTTTGTAGCTGACAGCTGGTCACTAATGGACACTCCAAGTTCCGTTGTCTAGGTAACTCTGCAATGTATTTGCTGCCTCGCTCATACATCAGTCAACGATGTCCTTCGCTGTTATTGGCAGTGGTTTGAATTGGATTGAGATGTTGAGAAGGAAGAACTCAAAGTAGGGAAAGTACCAGCACAGATGGCTTTTGCTTCTCTCCTACTGACCCGCGATCCTTGTAATTCCTTCACCTCTGAGACGGTGCACATCGCATCATACTCTGAAACTCACTGGAGGGCAAAGTAGTAAACATTTAGATACGCAGCTGTGGGCTGAAACAGTAATAATATACCTGTAGCTGGTGAAAGATGTTAGATTATTCCACATCAAAGCATTATTTGAGTACTGTATCGACTTCGTTGTCAGAAAGGTTTTGTTTAGCACTGACAGTCAGTGTTTAACTGCTGCAAGATGTTAACAACAGCCGTGCAGAAGTTCGGGCTGCAGTAACATTTTGTCAGTGTGCATGTTTTTCCTTGGTGTAACAGGCCAGTGGGGTTAGCCGTTAAACATGACTTATTATGATCCTTTCTAACACCATGTTTTTATTTTCACGATCAAGAGCAAAAATACTAAAGTCTGCAATAAACAACACATTTAAAAGTGCTGCAGGCGCCTGATGAAGACCTTACACAATGAGGTGAGGAACTTTATATATTTACGACAGTGATGAAAAAAGAAGTTGGATTAAAACAGTACAAGTAAGACTCACATTGTGTAAGAGAGAATTGCAAGTTGCATTAATAAATCATAAAGTGGCCTCAAGGTTAACGCCGAGAAAACCAAAGTCCTGACCACCGACGGCTCACCAACGATCGTTCACCTCTACGGTGTGCAGATCAAACAAGTCCAACAATTTCAATATCTGGGGTCCCTCGTCGAGGAGAAGAAAGTGGCATCATCAGTGGAGATACGCTCCAGAATTGGGCAGGCGGCGGCAGCATTCGCTTCCCTGCGCTGGTGCGTCTGGAAGAAGAACAACATCTCATTGGCGACAAAGATCCGCCTTTACCGAACCCTGATCCTGCCCATTCTACTTTACAGCGCAGAGACGTGGACAATGCTCAAACACGACCTGAGCAAGCTCAAAGTTTTCCAAATGCGTTGCCTTAGATGCGTTCTCGGCGTTTCCCTTCGCGACCGTCATTCGAACGACACCATCCTCACCAGCTGCAGCAGCCAACTGACGATCGGCGACCTAATCCAGCGCCGCCGACTCTGTTGGTTTGGCCACATTTGTCAAATGGACCCGAGCCGCTACCCCCATGGCCTACTCTGGTTGACCCGCCCCACCGATTGGAGGGTGCATCGAAATGCACCAAAGAAGACATGGATGAAACAAATCCAGGATGATTTAAAGGCCCTTCGACTTGACCTTGAGCAGGCAAGAACCATCGCCTTAGATCGAAAAGCGTGGAAGATAATCGTTGGTCAAGCAAGAGAACCTGCGGCACCTACAGCAGCGTACTGGTTGCGCGGCAGACCACCGCCGCTGGTCGCCCACTAAGGACAAGAAGAATAAATCATAAATACTCTCTAAATATGAGAATAACAGCTGCATGGAGGTATGATACAAATATGTTTGGGGTCTGACAGAACGAAGAGTTATTATACAGCTTTGAAGAGAATGGTAGTGTTCCTTACGGCAGCGAGGTGGAGTCAGTCTGAGGATAGATGCACTCGCCACCACAGACCTAAAGATCTCTGACATCTTGCTGCACATATTAAAGGCTCTGAGCTTCCTTAGTTACTTTAGTTCAGTGAGTTCTGCAGCATGCATGTATGCACAGCTCTCTGAAGCTCCCACCACAGCATCTCAGTCAAGCTGAGGTCTGTACTCTGGACCACTGCAGCACCTGGATACTTTTCTGTTGGACACTTGATGCTGTGCTTGGGATCTTTGACCTGTTGACCCAGTTTGGTCCAACCTTTAGCTTTGGGACAAATGGCCTCACATCTGACTCTAGAAGGCCTGTGGCCTCCACCACGCTGCTGACAGCTGGTATGAGATGTGCTGATGTGCTGTGTTTCTTTTTCTCCAAATGTGCTGCTGTGCATGATGGACTAACATCTCCACTTTGGTCTCTGTCCAAAGGACATTGTTGCAGGAGTCTTGTGGTTTGTTCAGACGCAGCTTTCCAGGCCTAAGCTGTGCTCCTGTGTTCTTTTTAATGAGAAGAGGCCCTGATAGCCCTTTCAAACCAGCCATGTCTGTCATGAACTTGAGCCTTTAACATGTTAACTGTGGCCTGTCTGAATCGTGAGTAGTGGAAGCAGGAAGGTTGTGTTTAGTTTTTCAGGCACTGCTTCTGCATTTTTAGTGTTTATTCTGATAAATAATAACGCGGTATAATATCCCACATGTAGCTGTACTTCTTCTGAGGTTGTATTTACCTAATTTTAGAACCTGCTGAGGGTGTGAAGTTTTTATTTATCATCTCCTCACACAGAAAACCTTTGAGTTCAAAGACACTTTTTTTCCAAAAGAAGGAAGAATCCAAACAGGAATCTGGATGAGTTTTCTATGATGTGCTACCTCGCACACACACCAAATGTTGTTTGCTAAAACATGTATGACTTGAAATAACATTTGTCACATGTGTCATGAGCCTGGCTAGTCCTACGTAGGCTGTAGGACAGCTTCCACTGTCAAACAAGTGCAGACAGGTGAAAATAGCAGCATCTGGGAAGCATTACCACTGTGTGCCTGTGATACCTTTCTATTCACGCTAATTCCATCATCCAGGCTCAGTTTCAGCAGGTTTTAATCTCCTATTCAGGGACACAGGTTTAACTGGCAGTAACCTGGCAGGTGCTGAAAATATCTCTACCTTTTTTGGGAGTCCCCACAGTCCTCACGTGTCGGAATTTACATTTATGTGTGTGTGTGTGTGTAACAAAGGTGTGGCAGTGCGGTGGCAGTGTAGAGGTCCTGCCCTGCTCTCGGATCGCCCACATCGAGCGTGCCCACAAACCCTACACGGAGAACCTGACGGCTCACGTCCGCCGCAACGCTCTGAGGGTGGCTGAGGTCTGGATGGACCAGTACAAGAGTCACGTCTACATGGCCTGGAACGTTCCACTGCAGGTAAACACACTCACTGTGTGTGTGTGGTGCTTCTTCTCTCTGTGTGCGGGGGTGTTATTGTGGACATGTTTATTTGTGTTCAGGGGTTGTGTTACATATCTTCTAGCAGCCGTGAATGCCACCATGGAGATCCACTAGAAAGTCATTGGCACATAAATAAGAAGCAAATGCATCTCTGAAGGATTGTTGTTGTCAGTGTTGGGAAGGTTACTTTTAACATGTATTCCATTACAGATTACAGATTACATGCCCCGAAATGTATTCTGTAACGTATTCCGTTACGTTACTCAATGAGAGTAACGTATTCTGAATACTTTGGATTACTTACGGACTACACTGCCTATGATGCTACATTCTTTAGAGCTATACCTGTAGCATTCTGCCTATTAGCTTAGCACAACAACAACAAAAAGGCCTCTCTCACCCAGGAAACACGCAGAGAGAGAGCGTCACCCTGTAACCATGGCAACCGTAACGCTGCCGCCTGGAACAACAGAACGTAGCTGTCAAACAAAACCCAAACAGTCCTGACCCGCCACAATATGAAACTGGGAAGTACCGCCGTGTAATCCATTTATTTCAACAAAGTAACTGTATTCTAAATACCACCTTTTTAAACGGTAACTGTAACGGAATACAGTTACTCATATTTTGTATTTTAAATACGTAACGGCGGTACATGTATTCCGTTACTCCCCAACACTGGTTGTTGTGCATATACTGTATATAAAAGCTACATTTTTGCTGTGGATTTTGGACAATTCTTAGCATGTTAGTTGTATGTGTGATGAAAGTTAGATAAAACAATTGAGCGTTAACTTAGCAGATAACACTAGAGAGCTTGGTTATTTATTCTGTGTCAAGCTCCATCAAACCTTTTAATGTCATAACGTTGCGCATTTTAGCATTGAGATCGATTTGCTTTTGGACCCACCCTCAAGTGGTCATTAGAGGTACTACCATTTTTGTTACTTCCTGTTTGTTTACATTTTCAGATGACAAGTCATTTGAATACTGTATAACAAAGATCTTAACCAGGTTTAGCTGACCTATCAAAACCTAACCAAACCCTGATAATCCCAAAAAGTTCACACTAGTTCAGCCTTACAGTATCCATGTTTCAACCACGTGTGTTCAGGTCTAATGCGAATACCTAACTCACCCAAAGTAGTCCTTGAGTTCATAGCTAGTTTCATTATTCATAAGCCTGTAGATCACTCTTGTCTTCCAGTTTGCTCGAGCCCGGCAATAACTCTTCTCTGATATTGTTTTTCTATGAGCACAGTGTTGCAGACAAGATTTACAGCGATTCAATGCAGATTGGTCAGTAGATGCTCAAATTTGTAGGACCAAGAACAATTTATGTCTGTAGGGTAAATTTCCTCTTGGCAGGAAAACAATCTTTCGGGGACATTTCACATACTTTTTATGTAGATTCTGCTTTAACGTCTCTGTTTAATTTCAGCTGTTCCTCACTGAGTATCGGACTCTGTGAGGCTCCTTTTTAAACATTCCTTGCTGTTCTTCTGCTCAGTTATCATTTCCGACTCTTTCATTGCCATTCCAAGGATGTAGTAGTGCTCAAAGGACGCAGACGCCTGAATTCTGCACGTGTTTTTATCTGTTGCTACATCGAATGTAAGAAAATTGAAGTTCTTTTTGTATTTGTCGTGTTGCTCGAGGCCATTGGGTGGCAGTAAAATGCTCAGCATGTAAAACTTGGATCTGTGTGTGTTTACTTCCTTGCCTAGAACTCGGGAATAGACATCGGGGACATTTCTAAGAGGAAGGCCCTGCGGTCAAGACTCCGGTGTCGACCGTTCAGCTGGTTCCTCTCCAACATCTACCCTGAGCTCCGATCCTACAGCGACACAGTTGCTTATGGCGTGGTGAGTTCCTGTGATCGACCTGCATTTCCGTCTTTGCCTATGTTGACATCCAGAATTAAGGGTTTGTTCATTAATGAGTTCCCACTGGTTTCTGAATAATTCCCAAATCAGAACGTTATGTGTTCCTGGGTATTTGTAGTCTTTGTGAAACAGTTGGCCCTGCAGTCGACTGGCAGCCTGTTGAACCCCACACAGCCCAGTTTTGGATTTTGGATTCGCATCCAATACGATTGATTCTTCTTTTCATGTTTTGGTGTAAAATAAAGATATTACAGTGATTAAAGTCTGCATTTGAGTTGCTAGAAGTGATGGGGGTTCTCACCATGTGTTCTGCATATCAGTGCCTCTGCTAAATTATTTTGATTCCCTGTGGTGACAAAACATACCCTCTACCCAAAGTGATTCATGTGGAAATGGTCGCAAATGGACTTTCACAGTTCGGTCTTGTGCTCCTGCGAGTGTGCGCCTCTTATTTTGAGTTTCGTTCAGATTCTTCATGTCGATGATTTTTAGAAATAACCTAAAATAGAAATAATACCCACCCTGTTATCGTCGTATCATAAACACCTCTTCATGACTTCCTGTAACTTCCCAGCTGCAAAAACCCAACTTTTCTGTTAACCCTCAGTGCAATTGCACGCTCACTTTAAATTACAGCAGCGGGTATGGAGAAGGTGAACTTTTTTTCTACCACTTAACTTCTGCGTGACTATAACTCTCATCAGCTAACGGCCGTGGGAGGATTTTGCATAATTGAAAAATGACAGTAATCTGTTGAAAGCGGAGCAGAATTATCCCTCTGCTCTGACTGCTCCTGCTGATAGAGGAAGAAAATGACTAATTTGGGACCAATTCCACTTACTAACCATTTAATGCCATTTTAATTGAGATCTCAGTCACCCTTTAACCCATAAAATCTTTAAAACGTATAACTGGATTGTAGCTTGGGTAGACATCCAGTTTCTGCATTGATGAAAAAACCAAAACTTTTGCCATATTGTAACTTAAGTGTACCGAGGCATGGACTTCACTAGACCCCTGAAGGTGTGCTGTGGTATCTGGCACCAAGATGTTAGCAGCAGATCCTTTAACACTAGAATTACTGAGCCTTTTTTTTCCTGGTGCAAGTCCCGACTATTAGATTTACTATCACTGCGCAAATTTGCATAAATTCTCCTGGACCTAACACCTCCTAGCACCCTGCTGAGAGGCCTTCAGCTCCATTGTTCTCCTGCTTTTGTTGTGCAAACATACCCTCCCCCAACCAGGAGGGATTCAGGAGACAGGAGAGAACCAGGAGAAGGTCTTTCCTTCCAATCATTGTCAGACTCAACAACAAAGTGTATATATATATATATATATATATATATACTTTTTTTTTTCAATACACGTGTCCATATTTATGTTTCCAGATTGTTTGTATAGTTCACTTTCTATGCTGTACTTTTTGTACAGTTTTTTGTACACTTTTCTGCAATGACAATGCAGATTTTCCACTTTTGGGACTAATAAATGCAGATTTGCTGTGTGTGTGTGTGTGTGTGTGTGTGTCTGCAACATTGGCATTTGTTTACTCAGATCCAAGGCATGCCAAACCTCTGTGTTACAACCAGAAATTCCTGCTGTATCAATACAAAAGACTCACATTCACAATATATAGGGGTACACAAGTCTGGTTTTTTTTTTCAAAGTGTTACAAACTTTACAGCATTTCAGACCCAGTGTCCATCATCCCTGCATTTGGCACAGTTCTTGTTGAAGCATGTCCAGATGTCGGAGATCGCCGCAAATGTGTCTGTTTTCAACTGTTCTGCCCTGGTCAGAAATCAGAAATCTTTCTGACCAGCAATCTAGAATGGCACCAATGGGACACATGATTGCTCTTACAAACAGAATTGAAATGAATGCCATCAGTTCAACAATAGAGATTGACAGACCACGTGACTTTCGCGCATTGCACGCCGGGAACTCGTGGCAAAACAATCCAAGTACCGCATCAAACGCAAGCATTTGCAGCACCGCTTTTTCTTTGCCCCCCAAAAAGGTATGTACAAAACGAAGGAGAACAATGCCGGACCGTACAAAGACAGACTTGATGAAAAGTCAAAGAAAAGATACGAGGAAAAAATCAAAGCAGTGAAAGGTTTATACCTTTACGAGCACACAGAGGGACAAAATACGTTAGCGTGCTGCCCAACTTTCACCACGCTCATATTTATAACTATACGGTTCTTGGAGTGAGTGCATACACTCATGAAGTTTAGTAACTTCAGGTCACTGCAACAACCGGTACAGTTTACTGACGGATGGGTACAGGACCATGAAATGCACCGTGTAGAACGAAAGACCATCGTACGTATCATAAGTTTACCAGTCTCACAAATCGTCTTCATAAATACACATTCGTTAACCGTTTATTAATAGGACCTTTGAGCTCAACGGTAATTAATTAGTCGTGGAAATAATTTCTTTTACGCGTTACAGAAATGTAGCAGTGACAATAATATTGTATGCTGTAATCGTACTGGGCAATTAGTGATACAAAAAAACAGTTTTACTCTGTGAATAAAAGTATATGTTTTTGTCAATGTACCATGGTAATAACAGAAGCGAAGCGCAATATTGTGTCAGGACAATTCACTATTTATGCACAATAAACAAAGGAGCATAGCACGACAATTTCTGTTCAGCGCCAGACTTGCTTGTAACCTATATCACCAATTATGTTAAGAAAAATGACGTATTAACTACAAGAGAAGACTGACCTTTGTGGAAATGTTGGAGCAGACTAAAGCTGAAGTGAAGTGAAGTGAAGTGAAGTGGAGCTGGAGTGTTCTGGGACGTTATATTTGGTCTTTGAATGGCTGCAATCCAGGCCATCCGTTGGCTCTTTGTTACTTCGGAAACATGGCTCGAACAATTTCTCTTCAACGACGTAATCCGATAACAACCGATCTCCTTACCCCTCAGCTTCCCGTGGCTGTCATGCGACCGGCAGTTAATAATACAACAGCTTCTTGCCATTTTTTGTGTTTCTTTTTATCGCTGTGTAACTGATTTCAATTGAAAGCCTGTGTGCGCTAGTACCTCTTGCCACGAGTTCCCAGAATCCTTTGCGGTTTTACCCCCTGAATAACGTCACATTTTCAATCTCTATTGACAAATTCCAGTCCTGCTCTGTTCTGCGGGCTTGATGGACCGTGCACTCCCTGATGGTCTGCAGCATTCCCAGGTCTAACAGGCAAAGGAAGCTTTGGAGCACACTTGTAATCTTACGCTGTCGGAAGATAAACAAATACAGAATGGTAAATTTACATGAACCTCACTCTAAATGGGTTTATATAAATATCATATCTACTATGGCAGTGACAAACCTTAGCAGACCTTAGCAGGTCCAGCTTGTGCAGTGAAGCACGAGCGATTTGCTTCTGCACTGGGCATTCCAATGTCCTCTTCAACCCACACAGTGCCGTCTTTTGCTGTGTGGCTTTGGCTGGGCTTCCACGGTGCCTCTTCCGTGGAGGCATGTTGGGTTCTTGTTCTCCTTTTCAGTTTCTTCTGAGGAGGTATCAGTGGCCTGCTGGACAAATGAAACCTCTCCTCCATCAGATCCTGCTTCGTCCATTTCCTGAAGCAAGGCCAAAGCCTGTTGCGCGGAGAGGTTCTTCCTGCGTGGCAGTGATACGGACGCCATCCTGATGTGCGTTCTCAGAAATGCGAACAAGAAAT